AATTCATTAAATCATCATTTATCAAGTATAAATCATGGAATGTCGAGTGGTGGAGTGAACTTCTACGTAGATACGCCATAATCTCCTGTAAGTAATCAGTGTGAAGGTATCGGACTCTACGGTAAGAAATAAGAAATACGACATATTATTATCTTTATATAATATAATCCACTCATACTTACCACCGATTCACCCCAAAACCATGACAAATAACTCCGAGGCTACATGTAGGACTTTTGCAGATTTAAAAGGGGCCTTTAATAGAGTAAATAAAGAAGTCATATTTGAGGATCTAATTAATCTAGGGGTTTCTGGGAAGTTGCTGAAATGAACTAGAGTATGGTTTCAGGGTTGGTACTCAGAAGAAAGAGAGATGGAGACAGACAAGTTGTAATATATGATGATTGAATCCGCCGGTTAATCCCCCAATTAACCGGGTTGGTCACATAAATAAATATTGGGTTTTAGTAACGAGACCCAATTGAAGTTCCTTTGTTTTATTATAAAAGGATTATGTTGATAATTTCTGAGTGTAGATCAACCGTAAGTTCCACTGTATATGAGTGAACGAGAAAGAGGACGGCTTTTATGTAAATATAAACGTTGATCACGTCCGTTCGATAGTAATTGATCTGAGTGACTGAGCAAGGAGCGTCGCTGGTGCGCGCTTACAAAGACGCTGACATATGGGCTTGTCCCTCTTGGGAAAGCTACCGTTCACGTATACAACTCATGTCTTACTCATAGACAGTGGAAAGTTACAGGGGGTGAATCTGAATATAATATCAGATGTATTGACCCATTTATATAATATGTTCTGTTGATGAGACAGGGGCCTATTACATGATGATATACTTTTACAGTGTAAAGGTATAAAAACATGCAAGAGGCTTTAGATGCATTGGGTACACTTTGGTGTAGAATGGGCCTTGTAATTAGCAATTAAAAAACAAAATATCAGGGCAGAAATTATGAGCAACGGTCATTATTTTTGAATGGATTAAGGCTAGAAAAAGGTTGTCCCATACAATAATGTGCTTAAATGAAAGAATACACCTTGGCAATGTGTCCACGTATGCAAGGCTATTGTATAATATTATGATGGAGTATGGAGTAGATTAATATTGCATTTCATTACAAACTTATTTAAGGTTTAGACCATGGCAGGAAGGATGCATTACAGAAGATATTTTACAGATACAGGGGAAAAACAGAAGATTTGCATCCCATCTACTTAAAAAATATCTTTTTAGAGAAAATAATATTTTTCCCAGGCGAAACACTGTATATATATATATATATATATATATATATATATATATATATATATATATATATATATATATATATATATATATATATATATATATATATATATATATATATATATATATATATATATATTGTGATGGATCAGTATTAAGTAGCGGTCAAGCGGGATGTAGTATTTTTATAAGGGAATATTTTATCAACGAGTGTTATGCAGATGAAACAGTTTGTAAAAGAATGAGAAACAACACCTCAACCACGCTGGCTGAACTAAGGCAAACTTGACTTCCCCAACCCTCGCCGGAACAGGTAACACTTCCGCTTTGTTCAGCGCCGCTATTAACGAGGCTGCAACAGAAGTGATGTTGTGCGTTGGTACTGGTGTACCTATCCTACGTTGGTACTGGTGTACCTATCCTACGTTGTTCTGGGAAAGACACTGATCTTCCCCCGAATTCTTGTTATAGCGACTAGGCGATGTCCGCTGTTGTGTTACCTGGGGTAACTCATATCCCATATCCCAACATCTTTGAAGAACCTGATATTTTTCTGAGTTATGGGAGGCACGCTGATGATACCCACACCACATATCAGCTTTTTGTTCTGCATCAGATTTGGTCTGAGCAGCTGCTGAATTAGTCTTGGGTGGTACTTGATGCTCTCGTGGATTGGTAGGAAGTGTTGTCTGATTTTTGGGTTTGACATCACCTCGCTGGAGCTGGTAACAAAAGTCAACTGTATGATTTTTCTTCTTGCAGTGTGTACACACTAAAGGCTGCTTGACTTTTGTGCTAGAGTTCTTAGGGACTCTTTGTTGCATCGGGGCAACAGGTGTTACCATCCTCGTTAGGTGGCTACGTGGTGTCTTAATTTCAATCTTACTTGCGTAATCAAGAATTAAGTCAGTGTGGGTATAATCATTTGTCTTTGGATGATTATACGCAGGGTCACGGATCGTCAATAGAAAACTAATAAATTCAATTAATTTTACAAAAAATCTAGTGACATTTTACCACCAGTGTCCAACCAGGGCGAACCACCAAAATTAGCCTTGATGTCTTGACAGACATCACCAGCTATGGAGACACTTTTCATGGTATCCTGTACTCCAACCGTACGAGTAAGATGGTCAACCCATTTAAACATCCATTTAGGTGACCTTGCTGTGCTCCCAATTAAAAAAGACCAATTAAAGTCCTTGCCCTCTTCATGTCCTGTTATTTGGATGTTCTTCATGGTATCCTCGCATGACTGTAAAAACGTAGTTACGCAATAATTATCTTCTGCCGTGAACTCACGAACGAGGTCACTGAGCAGTAATACTTGAACAATGTTAGCATTATTAGATGACATACCTGAACTAGCTGTAGCCATGGTTAGTAGGTTGTTAGAAAACCTAGATCTAGCTGGAGGATTAGAGGATGCGGGAGGTAAAGGACAAAGGACAAAGAAGTCTGTCTGTGTGTCCGCAAGAGAATCTAGGAAACTACTTTACAGATCTGTAGTGATGATGGATGGTGTTATATGTAGTGATCTCAAAAACCTCCAACCAACCCGGTCCGACACGCCTGAGAGAAAGAGAGAGAAACTAACGGTCAGCCCGGACGCACACACGTAGAAAAGTCGTTTTCCCTCCTATGATTTATAGCTATTTTGATCCTTAGGTTCTCTTTCATTATAGCTTTTTTTTCTCTGCATCTAATCTCCATCTGTTACACCACACAGAGGTTGAAAAGTCGTATCCCATCCCATATATTATAGCTAATTTTATCCTTATGCTCTCTCTCATTACAGTTTACTTTTCTTTGATCTCTAGCTTTTCTAGGCTGTCCATTCTAACAAGGTAGGGAGGTAGGTAGGCCATTCTAACGAGGTATGCCAAACGTACTATATTTCACACATTGGCCTAGCGAAAGAGCAGCCCTTTTGGGTGTCGTTTCTGCTAGTATACTGTATATATATATATGTTACAGCAAGCAGTAATGAGTAGATGACACATAAACAAACATTATGTTAGGCTGTAAGTCATGTTATGTTTATTGGGTGTGCCTGCCCGTATACAGTATATAGAGTGTTGAGATGGTTGAAGATGAGAGACGGAGAAGACGTGAGGTGTTGGGTGGTAGTAAGGGAGCTTGTTTGTGTATAATCACCTGACTCAGCCCTCTCCCATCGAGAGAGGGTTGGAGAGGGGATAGCAGGCTATCGGCACTGTAGCTATTCAGACCACAGAGGCAACACCTAACTTGGTTTCTCTTGAGACTTTCAATACTTAAGTTTAACTGGTACTTATTGTGTACACAGGTAGACTGTATCCATTGCAACGTTTATCATTGTGACAATATAAAATATGGCAAATTAACAACTCATTTTAAGTGTTAAGATTAGACTAATTACATAGCTATGATTGTCATATATGATTTAGTTTAAATACTAAAATGAATTGTATTCAACAGGTTTGACCGAATTATAACGTTAAAGTTTAACGTGATAAGTCTGATTATCCTTTAACCGCCTGATTGGCGGTTATAATATATATATATATATATATATATATATATATATATATATATATATATATATATATATATATATATATATATATATATATATATATATTATATATATATATATATATGTATATATATATATATAACAAAGAAGTATGTCTGCGTGTTGTGTGTCCGCACGAGAATCTCGGAACCACTTTACCGATATGTAGTGATGATGGATGGTGTTATATGTAGTGATGATGGATGATGTTTTTTGTAGTGATGATGGATGTTGTTATATGTAGTGATGATGGGTGGTGTTATATGTAGTGATGATGGATGGTGTTATATGTAGTGATAATGGATGATGTTATATGTAGTGATGATGGATGTTGTTATATGTAGTGATGATGGGTGGTATTAAATGTAGTGATGATGGATGATGTTATATGTAGTGATGATGGATGGTGTTATATGTAGTGATGATGGATGGTGTTATATGTAGTGATCATGGATGATGTTATATGTAGTGATGATGGATGTTGTTATATGTAGTGATGATGGGTGGTGTTATATGTAGTGATGATGGATGATGTTATACATAGTGATGATGGATGGTGTTATACGTAGTGATGATGGATGATGTTATATGTAGTGATGATGGGTGGTGTTATATGTAGTGATGATTAGACAATAAAATAATAACAGTTTAATGCAAAAAATATATACTTTGCTGTACCGTTGTAGTGAAAAACATGGTGGAACTTACATACACCGTTAATGAACTATTGATGGAAGAAGTTTTGGGGACTGAACAGTGAAACATGTGGAGCCTCCCGGAGGGTTGAGTCCTACCGTTGCCTAGCGGATGAGCCGTCCAAAGGGCGGCGATGCTGCTAGTGTGTATATATATATATATATATATATATATATATATATATATATATATATATATATATATATATATATATATATATATATATATATATATATATATATATATATATTTATATATATATATATTTAGGTGTGCAGTTCTTGTAGTTGTGGTGAAGTTGAGTGATGTAATGAGGCTAAGTGCAAATGAACAAAACGTTAAATAGTTAACATTGTTGTGGGTGCAACTGTGAGTTTTTATGTCAGTTAATACACCAGAGTCATATTAAATTAACATGGACAAAACGTTCAATTGGAAATGTATACCATTCAAGTTAAACAATAGATGTAAAACTATTTTACCTGGACGAAGAGGACGAAGGGTACCCACTGGTAGTAGGTGTGGTAAGTGATAGATTCACCAGGTTGCTGGGGACCTACGCCGGGATGGGGCACTTCTAGTCCCACCTTAACACCGTGAAGACGATCCACTGTGAACGTGCCCATGATGAAGCAGTATATGTTGGCCACGTCGTTGAACGAGGATGATGACATCCCGGTCATGCAGTCTATCTTCTTACCTTAGAATTAAAAGAAAAAAAGAATAAACGAGTTTACGATCATAAGTATATAAGCATCGCCCATATATTCTATAGACCTTGGCCAACTATACTGTAGCTTTGGGAGAGAATGACTTCCAGCGAAACAAACAGATTTACGTGCACATGTTATATACCCACTCTTTTTTCATGGCTTTGCGTATCATTCGTATATTTTACATATTGTTGCATATTTTTGTGCGATTAATAAGAACTTGTGCAATTATGGAACGTGTAAACATCATTACACACTGAAAGGTTAAAACAACAGCTTTAAAGTGCATACAGAAAGACAAATGATAATTATGAAGTGTAAAAAGCCTTGGATCTTGTTGTCACACCCATGGAAAATTCCTCAACACGTGAGCGATAAGGCGGCGCTATACATGTGTCACAGCCGCTGCTACAACCCCTTCCTCCAACCCTTTCTACTTCTGTCTCGTCAGATGTTCGACGTGGCGCTCATAAATTAGAATTGAAATGTGACGTCACAGCATCCACGCCGTAATACGAGCTTATAAAATTCCTGCACATCCTCGGAAGTCACTTCACTTCCATATTCGCCCATTTAATATAACTTTCCCCTGGATTGACATATCTCTCAACATTCACCAGTGTTGTAACAGCTCTGCTGGTACCTACAAGGACCCAGCTAAACGAGGTCGGACAGATTGGCTAGGTCGCTCATGTGGGTGGAGTTTGTGCGACGTCATGATCGCCATCTGCGGCCGATCCCGCCAAGAGAATTCTTTGTACTTAATGTACTCGTGGAGTGTAGTATGGTCTAGTGAAGACAATACTGATAATTTGGATTAATATTCATACCTTTCAACAATTATGCTAAGTGTCTGCGCAATATTTAGCTGTCCAAACATCAAAGTTGAGACAGCAAGCTCAGGAATTAAGTACTTTAATTTTCCCAAAAATTAACATTTTAGGAAAGTATGGGTAAACCTGCAACGGCTGGCTGATACCATTAATCCCAAAAATACTGTAGTTTGCTCTCTACATTTTACTAAGGACTACTACATTGAGGATTTGAAGAGTCACTTACTTGGAATTGAAAACCCTAACAGCATAATGGTAGGTTGAATTTATCGAGACACCGTGTATAGATGGAATACACATGAGTACCAATATCATTAAGATTTATTAGTAGCAAATATTTGGCGGGGTAGATAGGTAGAGTGTATGTGTGTGTGTGTGTGTGTGTGTTCCCACACAGGGAGATGAATTGCGTCTAGTGTGGCAGCATTATGTAAGTGTTAAGGTGCAAGCACTGCTTGCTTCCTCTTGCTTTCAGCTACCGCCGCTGGCTAGCCCTCGTGACGAATAGGGAAGCAACTTCCATAAGTCTTCCCCTGCCAGTATACAGCCTCTTCATCATCAAGACTCTTGCTGTGCCTCCTCGTGGCAACACACGGTAACTAGGTGCCTCGTGGGCCCAGGCTAAAACGGCAGGGGATCTCGGAGTAGCAGTGAGCCCCAGAGGGACGGCGCATAGTCCCACTGGCATGTGGCCACGTCCTGGCACCTACCAACCATTGACTCGCTGCCTTGCGGATTAACCTTGGTAGGTATAAGGCTACAGGAGTAAAACCCCGAAAGAAAAATCTGCGGTGGAGCCCTGCATCAGGGAGACATGCTTACAGAGCTCCAAAAAGACCCCAACGGGGGTATATACAAAAGAGGTGACCACTATGGGAGCCCAACGACTACACCGGCATTGCGTGATGGACGGGCTACTAAGGCCAAACCCAACAAACTAGGCTATCAGCAGTCCATTGCAACTCTCCCTCTCCCCAGCCTGGATCAGGAAAAGGGAGAGCCAATATGTGTCGTTGCAGCCTGCGCTCCTGCCTCACCACATAAATCAACTCAGCTCATTATACCTCTCATCATCATCATCAAAACCCCTATATCCCCAAATAGTCCTAAGGCGACGGACGAGTGGCGGCGGGGATAGGCGTATCTAGTCACAACTCTGCACATGGGCGGCACAGATAAGATGGTCGTTTATGCACTGGGTTCTAGGTAGCAGTGTAATCCGGTCCTGTCTCTGCGACTGAGCAGCCCTCTCGAGAGAAAGAGATCGCCGAGATGTCCTCATCATCCGAGCCATGCATGACTCAGACCACTGCGACACTGATCATCAGTTTGTCAGAACAAAGCTATTATTTCACGTTGCCCCAAAATGGTGATGGCAGTAAGCCTCCGGAAGAGGTTTTAACACTAAGCGTCTGGAGGATCTAGTGGTAGCACATGCTTTCAGAGAGCAGCTCGAATATGGGCTGATAAAGAACCCGACAACAACAACCCAATTCCCAGTGCCGAATGGGATATTCTCGACACTGTCATGACAAAAACCTGCAGAGAGAACCTCAGCCAGATCGAAAGAATACACCAGGATTGGTTTGATGAAAATGACTCGGCAATCAATGCACTCGTCGAAGATAAACGTGTTGCTTTAACTGACTGACAGAACAACCCTCAGTCTCGGACCCAAGCTGATACCTTCCGCAGGTCTAGTTTGTTGGAAGGTGAAGCTGATAATAATCAAGACTTGTAAAGAATGCCACAAGAAACAAGAAGAAATTATGAAGTCTCGGTTTTAAAACTATGGATATGGAAATGGACAAGACGACTGAGGAAACTCAAGAAAACTTGAATGAATTTGACAGTCTTGTGGCAGTATGTGAAAATGAACCAAACTCCACAAGTACAGTCATAGAGGAGCAATCTTTAGAGTATATAAGTGGATATTTAGTGATAAAATTTTGTGTAAAACATCCTTCCTTAGGATACAAGGCTGAAAACTTCTGATCTTAGGGCAAATCATGGACAGAAATGGCCAGTAGAGGTCAGCTGTACATGCCTGCTGAGTTTTCTTCTCAATTGATCACCATGAGAGATATATTCAAAGCTATCTATGGTGAACGCCTGAAAGAAGGGGAAAACATGTGCAAACTCTTGCATTAGAAATAGAACATGCTGGAGTGAGTTTACCTTCATATGTCACATTATTTTTTGCCAAAATACCTGTTTTCTTTTGGCAACTATCAAACAGGGAGGTACTACCGCCTGGGAAGACATTGGAAGCACAGTGTATTGTCTAATGGTAGCTCCTACTGCCATATGGTATCACGAAACTTATGAACTAGTCCCAGGTGTCTGATCATGACTTTCTGTCTCATTTACACACAATTACAGGGTTTCAGTTGTTTCTCTCACTTTGACAACACAACATACTTATGTCGTTTCTCACTGTTACTCTTTTTTATTTTTTTTATTTAAGTTCCTTTATTATTATTATATTTTTGCCCCCCAGGCCCTGGTGTGGGTCATTGACCTGTGCCATAGTGGGCTAATTCTGTAAAAAAAAAAAAATAATAATAATAAAATACGATCATTTAATGCAATAAACAAACGGATAATGCGTGCAGAGGTTTCCTAAGAAAAAAAAGGGATGAAAACAGTTACATGAAAATAATTTGGAAGGTTGGTATAAATAAGTCAGTAGTCATGATGAAAATATGTATTATATGTATAATTATGTGCACTTAGTCATTACACTAGCAGTATTATTATTTATTTATTATGATCTTAACATTTAAATGAGCAATGGGTTCTCTCAGTTGAAATCATCTGGCATCAGCCAGAACAAGATAATAAATGTGAACTCCACACCATGAAGATAGATTTGCCACTTGTTCATGTTCTGAGATCACCATGTTATATTTTTAGATGCTCTGTAAATTAATTAACATTAAAAGTACTGAACAATATTTAGTGTCTGATTTATTTTTATCGTCCTTAATTCACCTCACAACACAGGTAGAATGGGCTGTCCTCACCTCACAACACAGATAGAATGGGCTGTCCTCACCTCACAACACAGGTAGAATGTATTGTCCTCACCTAAATGTATCCAAACTACAGGTAAACATATGAGGATATTTGGACTAGACCATCTGTACAAAGCTGACACAGCAGCGCTTCCTACCACCCTGGCGGACAGTTCCCTTTAATATCACAACACCCACGTACCCGCCTAAACGACTTACCACACATAATCCTTTTCTCCAACACACTGCCAAAGTGAGAGCTCTTGACCACATACATAATCTACAGACTGAAAATAACATCACACAGACCATCTACACTAACGGCTCTTTTAACACTGTCTGTGGGAGGGCAGGAAGTGTTGTCATTGTTACACAGCCCAACGGTAATGTAATAGAGAAAGGAGCTAGAATTAGTTATTGGACATCCACTCTACAAACTGAACTATTTACCATACTCACAGCCCTGAAATTTGTTGAAGACACTGCCACTGACAGTTTCATCATCACTAGGGTTGCCATACGTCCGTATTTTCCCGGACATGTCCTCCATTTAGGCCTCGAAATCTTCGTCCGAAAGGATTTTTTAAAATTCTTCAAAAGTCCGGAATTTCAGCTTCCATCATTTTCTCCACGGAAAAAAAAATGTGAAACTGTAATGACGGGAGAGAGAGAGAGAGAGGGGGAGGTGGAAACCGTAGAGATCTCGTTCAGTTTTCGTCAGCTGATAAGTCACTTGTACGCCTGTGCGGTGTTGTCAACTTAGCTGTCAAATATTTGATTGATAAGGGGGTAGAAGTTGATGAAATGTTTTGACCAAGTTAGTAACCTGAAGCAATTTGTGGAAAATTACAAGAGTGATGAAGAATTTAGTAATCTGCCAACACATAAAAAAGTGGACCAGATACTTTGAAAAATCAAAGAACATTGAATGCCATTCAGAATTGCTAAGACTTGCACAATTCTTCTTTGCTATATCATCTCACAATGCAAATGTAAAAAGAGTGTTGAAACAATGAAAGGCATTCTGACTGTACAGTACAACTTCCGAGAAACACCTTGCAGTGACTTCTATACCTTTCTAAAGAGCAATCAGCCAAAACTGAAAAAGATCCGATCTGCCGAAAAGTATGCATGGTC